AATATGTAAAAAAACCAAATAAATTATGCTTGTCCAAGCGTTTTCCCGAAAGACTAACCGTTTTTTAAATAACAAATATTGTAATATTTGGGGGGCGTTTTCACCCTCTTGGAGTTTGAGATTCGAGAAACCCCTCCTTGTCGAACCTCTACACCCCACAGTCAATCCGTTTGCCAAAAATCAGCTTTAAACGTCAAGCAGTGTAAGCAGAATGGTGATTACCCAATGGTCATATTTTATGAAATACCCTGTATAAATTTATAAAAAATCTTAAAATATGTAAAAGAACAAAATAAAATATCCGAAAAACTCACCGGTTTTTAAATAAAAATTATTTTAATATTTGAGGGATAGTTTCACCCCCTTCGAATTCGAGTTTCAAAAAATCCCTCCTTATCGAACCTCTACACCCTAAAGTCAATCTGTTTTCCAAAAATCAGCTTTTTACGTCAAGCGCTTTAAGCAGGATCGTGATTAATCAATGACCAGATTTTTCGAAACACCTTGTATATATTTTTAAAAAATCTTAAAATATGTAAAAAAACAAAATAAAATATACGTGTTTAAGCGTTTTTTCGGAAACTTGACCGTTTTTTAAATAAAAAATATTGTAATATTTGAGGGGTGGTTTCACCCTCTTGGAACTGGAATTTCGAAAAATCCCTTCTTATCGAACCTCTACACCCTAGAATCAACATGTATACCAAATTTGAGCTTCTTATGTTGAGTGGTTTGAGCAGAATCGTGATTAATCAGTATGTCAGTCACTTAAGGATTTTATATATTAGATGTGTTATCTGTGATATTAGTATAGATAAATGAGAGTATATCAAGTCTGGAAATTACGAAATTACAAACATTTCAATTCATCAATTTATGTACATTGTGTATTAGGATTATAGCTTAAAATTGAAGGAAGAATAATTGAAATATGCAATAATATACAGGGGGTTTTATTAAAAAAAAAAGTTTGATGTGACACAACTTTATGACCGACCCTGTATACTTAAATTTACTAGTAGCTAATAGGAATTTAAAAAACCCATTTCGGCAGAATGGCATCATTAAATCAAACCAAACACATCAAAATTAATTAAATCGAATTGTTTAAGTGATATTTTCAAAAGTCAATAACTCGGAAACGGTTGGTTTGAAGTACATTGTGTGATTTCGATTTTTGTTTAGAATTAAAGGAAGAATTGAAATACGTAATAATATACAGGGGGTTCTATTTAAAAAAGTGAAACTTTGATGTGCCACGACCTTATAAACGATCCTGTATACTTAAATTTATTACTCGCTAATAAGATATTTGAAAATTCTATAACTTTTATATTTAACTTTTTGCGGTACCTCCTATATTTTACCTAATAATCGACCGTTTCCATACATAAAAGCGACCCTGTATGTATATCATACTGTTAACAATAACACTTAAATAATATTTTTTAATACATGTTTTTACGTGTTGTTTTACAATCCCTTAAATTTTAATATTACAAGCGTTAATTTTCATTTAAATGAAGTTCTTTGTCACTGTAAATATCATTAGTTAAATTATAAAAACAAAGTTTTCCTTTCTGAGAAACACTCTTTCCCGAAATCGTAAGCATTATTTAACTTGAACATGACAGTTTGTATTCCCGAATTCTTGTATTCTCTAATCTTCCCCAATGTATTTTCTTACCCCTTTGCTTCTCGACAAATATAGCTTCTTGGTTTATCTATAGCCGGGGCGTCTAAACAAAACAAAATTTTCATTTTCTTATCGGAACTCTGGTGCATAAATCATCCCAGGCTCGGGCAACGGGGAACAACGGTGACACAAAGACGCCACCATTGTCGATGGTTACTTCTCGTTACCCCGCTACCAAGGGAAGTAACTTTGGGAAAAGTGGAGAATTTATAGGTTTTGCTTAACAGTGGCGGGCATGGAGTGTGATATAAATCGTCAAATAACGTGCATCTGTCCAGAAATTACAAAGAGTCCATTTTACAAGAGTCCATTTCACTAGTCCGAAAAGTATCATAATAAGCGTTTGGCATTTAACGTTTTATGTAAAACTGGCTAGATATTTTTATACAAATGAAGATGAAAATTAAAGATAAAGGATTATAGCACATTTTTAGCAAAATAAAAACACTAAATCACCACAATACACCAAAACACTTTTACTTTTACACTGGACGCGCGTTTCGCTAACCATGTTAGCATCATCAGCAGATGATTATAAACTAAAGTACAATCTACAAGGTGAGCGTTTATATACTCGCTCAGTGGGCCCCGAGTGGGCGTGGCAAAATCTAGCCAACCGAGTCAGAGCCAACTGAGCGTAACAGTTAGATTTCCGCCACTAGAGTAGTAGGAACAAAGAACTTGAAGGAATTGGACCGTTGACTCTGTTCATACTATCTTTACATTTATTAATTCTGATGCTTTCATATGCATCTAATCACATTTTTAGACTATTCTATTGTAGCACATTTTTAGACAACTTCTTTATTTTTAAGATTTTGATGATCAAACATCGACAAAATATTACTTATGTTTGAACTAAATTTTCTCGAAAATAAAGACATAATTTAAAATTTCGTTATAAAACGGAAATAGATTGAAGTTTTGTGATTACAGTAATATCTAACTTATATGGTTTTGTAACAAACTGCTCGCTATTTTATGGCAAATGCTAAAGCTCTGCAAACCTTAATCAGGCCTTAATAAAAGCACGTGTATTTAGAATTCTGGGTGTGGCTTAACACGACAGGATCGGGCTAAGCCTTAGGCAGATTTCTGGAATATAATATATTTCCTTCGGCCACACACCCGCTTTACCCGACCACTGAGAGCAACAAAGACTATTACAAAGTTACAAGCAACAACTATTACAAAGTTTCTTCCTTTAGTTTAGTATGATGGTTTTTAAATCTAACTTAGAAATTAATCCTAAAGATCACGTCCTATAAAGTCAACGCCAAGTTAAGTGGTCAGAAACTAGTTGACCACAGAGAAATACATTATAGGACATAATTATTTAAAAAAAAATGAAGAATATACCCCAAGTATTGAAGAACCAAATGCTTGAAAATCATTTCCAGCGCCAGTGCCTCAATGTAAATAGGGTATGAATGCATTTGTCACGTTTGGATCTATGCAATTCGTGCTATAATTTTGTAGCTTAGTATATTTAACTTTATATTTTTTATAGTTTAATAAATAGAAATTGTCTTTCTTTAATGCCATAATCAAATTATTACAAAAATCGTAAAAAGCAATAATAAAACATAACTTTTACAATACTAACTAAATTTAACAGTGTTGTAATAATGTACCGAACGAGGATCCATATAAGGTAAAGTCATCGTCAATCCCTTAATACGCCTTATAAAACCCGTTTTTATGTTTTCCTTTTTATTATACGTTTTATTACCGACCATTTCTTGTGAGAAAGAAATCCTCTACAAGAGCTATAATTTCGGGATATATTTTATATATTTTCTTTAAATTATTTTCAGTTGCTTGTTTAAAAATACCACAATTTATAAACATCATTTTCAGCTTATTCAATTGTGCCTAAACCGCTTCTAAAGTCTGCTTGACCTGTCCATTTTGTATTCTGTTGTTTATTATTTTGTGAATATTTTGTATGTTACTTGTAGTAGATTTATTGGTCTATAGTTTCTGATGCCTTATTTGCTGCCTTTCTTTTGAATTAGTATTATATTGGTGCTATTTCATTCATGCGGTATATGTCTTCTCCTTAGGCAGCTGATTATATTTGCTAGTAGTTTCCAAGTGTCAGCTGTTAGTCTGTCGTTCCCTGCTGCTTTTAGATTGTTTATATCTCCAAAAATTCCTATATGGTTATTTCGCCACTGCAAGAAAATCTACAAAATAAAATAGTTATTTTTTGTAAACACTTCTGCGTTAATCCCAAACGGAAACTACTTGCCAGAAGTTAGGTTTGTAGTTATACAAATTTGCCTAACAAACAAAAAAATACTTAACGTTTCGGAAAGTTTATCTCTTTCCGTTGTCGGAAGCAAAAAAAAATACAAAGAATGAAGAAAAAACTATTTAAAATATTTAAATTCAACTATTCGAGTTTTCTAAAACAGATACGTCTACAAAAACCATTGACGTTTTGTTAAAATGACATTATATCAAGTTAAACTTCAAAATTAACAATTACTACCTGTCAACAATTACTTAATAAGGTAAACCCAAAAAAACCCACTTTCTGTATGATTATTTTTAAATTTTACGTATGTTATGTTTATTTATGTTATGTTGTTTAAAAATCAAAGAAGCGATTTCCATACATTACTAACATCGCCAGATGCATGAGCAGTACATTTATTTTTATTTGATTGTATGAAAAAAACCTCTTTTATTTTTCTTTTAGAGGCTATCGCATCTTTCATTATAATTTTGGCGTTATTCAAATGTATTCTGTGCCCTGTGTCCCATGAATGCTGACCAATCTTAGATTTGAGGATACATTAAAATACGCAACCAACCGTCATTGAACCGTCCAATCAGATCAAAGGAGTAATCGTCGTAGATCGTGCGTTATCGATAATGTTCGGTGCCTGGAGAAAATTGACAATTGACAAGAGAATTGTTTATTATTTTTGACTTTTTAGTTCGCTTAATTTAAAAATTACTAAAACCAGTAGTTCGAAAGATATATTTAAAAATAAAAGATAAAAATCCAAAAAATTAATTATCTATTAACGTGGATTTGGACGACAATAGGTAAGAACACTAAACTTATTTCTATATTCGATATAAACTTGTTTATTATGTTTTTAGTTTGTGATGTTTCATGTGATGATCATTTTCATGTTCATCGTCTTTGAATTGACATGAGGATATCTATGGAAAAGTAACTAATCTGAAAGTAAGCCAACATATCGTTTGTCCTTTGTGTGCTAAAGAAAAGATTTTCTTTTCGCATCATGAGGAAGTATTACATCAATTAAAAATGTTAGGAAGTTGATACTTGTCATGGAAAAGTATACCAATGGAAATTATTTGTTAAAGAAGTATAATTCTAAGGGTAAATTTTATTATAATTAGTAACCTGTCTATTTTTTATACGTAGATGTTTCAGGTTTTAAGAATAAATTGGTTGAACCCAAAATCTGGAGGAAGTACCTATATCCATACACAGAATATGCCCATTAAAAATACTAGTCCAAATTTGCTTTAATGGTAGACAATTATTCAATACAAATTAACTTTTTAAGTGACTGAAATATTAAATAGTTTAGAATATGGTATAACAATGTAAAAAAATATTATTTTCAGGAACGATTAGGGCCCGATATATTTGAAACTCATGTTGGACATAGTATTGAGTTGGGTAGAATATTATTCTACGTTAAGTGAGGGTATCAGATACCTATTATTGTACTGTATTTTAATATATACATTAGAATTGTTGGTTTTTTCATATTTGTTTTATTTATTATTTTACTTACAAGTTATATAAAGTTAACACTAAAATCTACTTTTTGACTTATATAAGTTAGTCTGTGGTTTAATGCGTGATTACATCCACATGATTTCAAGTTTTTAAAATATAAATATTATAACTGGCTTTAAAAACTCCATTAAACTGTTAAAAGTGTAATTTATTTCAAAATAAATATACATATATAGGTATATATTAATATCGAAAAACATTTTTATTCCTTAACACCAATTTAATCATCACATACATATGTATAAACATTTATTTACGTTATTTCAAATGAAGACCACAGGAAAAACCAGCTTTGTTCATTTTAACTGGAGCCGAGAAAATGCAATTACGAGTGAACTACTCTGGTTTTTCTCCTGTAGGGCAAAATAACTAAGCTGTAATATCTCTGGGACTAAGCATATTATTATTGCTTTCTTTGATGGTGCCTCGAATAATGCAACACTTGCCTATAAAATTGTCTCGCTATCAATTTCTATGAAAATGTAACATATTATCTGGTTTTTTCCGTGTAGTCTTCAAATGATCTAAAAATTCAGCAGGAATGATCCATTATGCAGCAAACACACTGATGTTGAATCATTGGAAGCTTTTTTGTGGGCATTTCACAAATAAAATGAAATATCTGATCAAAAACTGAAAATGCAAATCAGATAGTAAGCTTTATAAATACATACATATATATAAATAATCATACCTACATCTATTTATGTCGTACAATCCAACCGATATTTTAATATCCTAGCCCAAGTAAATAATCAAAAATGCACTTTTTATATCAAAAGCAGTAATGTTATCAAGGGTTCCAATTAATATACAGGATTTAAAAAAAAACACGATCCTAATTCTTATTATTTTTCTAAATACGTATTGTCTGATAGGCAATTACAAAATATAAATCTGATGTAAATAGAAAAATAAAGTAAAAACTGTAAAAACAGGTAAAAACAACAACAAAAATTCTAACCAAAGATTTAACCGTCATACGACATGAGCATCACGTGATTGCACAATATTCAACGATAGGGTACGTACCCTCTTTCATCTGATTGGACGGTTGGTTGCGTATTTTAATGTATCCTTTAAATTTGTGACAATCTCCCTTTCGTAAATAATCTTTATGTTCTTTAATTCATTTAAACATTTAAGGGTCTAGATATAGTCCAAAGAATATACCTAGCTAGAAAAAGAATGGACTCTGCCATACTGAAAAATGGTCCTACAGAAGTGGCGCCATCTATTGAGTAGGGCTTGTTTTAAACGGATCGAAGCGCGGGCTTTTCAAATGAGCGTATTTATTGAATTTTGCTCTAAAATAATTAAATTTGATTATTAAATCTTATTTTTTACACAAATTCAACAATACTAATAACAAGTATCGTTGTGATGTGTAAAAAATAAGATTTAACAGTATAATTTATACAATTATTAAATAAAATTAAAGCCAAACATGCGAAATATTATTTATTATGTAAAGTTTTTATTTATAAGTCAAATATTTAAACATCGATAATTATAATAAAACAAGACCAACGTAATACGCCCAAAGTTTTGTAAATGGAGTAAATATAAATAGGTACTTAATTGATAGCAAAAATAAAAGACTTACATTATATTTTTAGGGACACATACAAAAGGAATTGTCTAATAAAAACACATATAACAAATTATAGTTTGAAAAACGTTTTGATAATCATTTTTGATGATTGGCGCTATGACAACGACAATATTTTTTGAGAATTTGACAATAGTATGATAATGGCCGTTGGAAACTTTGGAAACTACAAAAAAAAATCTGATTGAACGCCATCTGGCAATAACTAGTAGCAACTTCTTAACCTAAAAATTAATTGCACTACCACCTAGCGTCCGAGGCTGGAACTATTTTATTTGAAATTTCCGTGGAAACGGTGGAACCGTTTTTGCTATTTCACTATCCGGCCCCTGATATAAATATTTCACCAATGTAAAATTTATCGCATTCACATGGTATTTGGTATATTACATTTTTCGTTTGTTATTCTGTATTCATTGGTTTAGTATGTGATAAAATGGATCTAAGTGTATTTTGTGTTTTGAAAGATGTTCGTATGTTATATTGTTTTCCTATCCTTCTTATTTTTTCCGAAACGCCTCGTATGTATGGAATTGTAAGTTGTTGTATATATTGCGTATTGTTATCAGTGTGTCTATGATTTGGGGTTTGAATTTCGTTTAATGTTTGTCAATAAAATATGGTGGATAGTCGTTTTTTATTAATATATTTTTTATATGGTTTATATCTCTTGTTGGATTCTATCCCTTCCTCCCCTCCTTTACCCGAAAACCCTTAGTGGGTACGTAGCCGTAGTCGAGTACGGAGAGAGTGACAAGATCGGCCGAGTACACAGTGTACACCTCCAAGCGCGCGCTATCCTCAAGTGTTTTGTTCAAGCAAAAAATCAAAAAGTACGAGTCCAGAACGGGAATAAAGGTGAGTGCCCACAGTCCTGATACATTAACTCACCCTAATGAACTGAGCCCCTTAATTCTCGCCCGTAACATCTCTGTTTAGTGAAATGTCGTCTGAACATATTATTTTTGCCCTATCATATAAACTTTTTATAACACCTTTTTTATACTTATACTGTGATTAGATGTGTTAAACCTTTACCGTTTTTAATTGTTTATATCTCTAGGCGCATTTCCTATTTCTCCCACGAGAACTTCTGAGGCGTCTTCTTTTTGTTGGTTATTCTGATGTTGTTTGTTAATAAGATTCCTTCTATATGTTGAAAAAAATAAAATGATACCACTGTTTGTATAATAATTTAACTTACAAAACATTTGAAAAATATCAGCTTTCGTAAGCTTTTAAAGATAAACTTAGCTGAAGTTACTTGTCTTATCCCATTTCAACTAACTACTGTAATATTATAGGTATATGGACCATGTTTGGAAAAAATTGACATTAATAGAATCGAGAAGCTTCAAAAAAGCTGCATACGTTTTATTTATGGTATAAGAAAATATGATCCCATTTCGCATAAGTTAAAAGAAGCTAAGTGGTTGAATATGGAAAACAGACGTGAGATGCATTCATTAGTTTTATTTCATGGAGTTATTTCTAAGAAGTGTCCTCCATACTTGGTGAATAAAAAATTCAGAACAGATGTCCACAACTTAAACCTTAGATTTAAGGGACTTATTACTCCACCACCTCACAAAACAGCATTGTTCACTAGATTTTCTTATTTAATATTTCCAAGCTCTACAACTGTTTACCAGCAGAAATGATAAATCTTCACAGTGCTGCATTTAAAGATAAACTTAAAAAGACATTTTCTAGATAGTTCCATTCTCTCTTAGTTTTCTTTACTTCAGAATTATTTTAGTATAAAATACTTTCTTTGTGTTTATTTCTTTGAATTTTATTCTAATTTTCTTAGTCATAGGATTACTATATAATTTATTTATAAAGTACGTGAATAAACGTAGACTACATCGAAAACTAATCAATAAAGAAATAAACGACTTATAAAAGTATCTACCCAAGAAGAATCTTAGAATTCTTAACAAACTGTTAGAGATGAAGAAGGAACGAACTGACAACTACTATAACATTACCTACAAATCTCTAGAATGGTGTGGCAGACAGAGTTTGAGAAAACAGTTTATAATTAAACTCTTAGCCTTATATTAAAAAAAAATATTATTCAATTTAGAACTGTAACATGCCAAAGTTTCACTAAACTATTTTATTATTTTTTATTCAATAATTTAACGTTAGTAGATATTATTATTAGTTTGAAATATCGATCAGTTTAATTTAGTGAACCAAGAATAAAGAAATAGTACTTGCATGTCAACAAAAGTAATTATTCCATCCTTATTTATAACTAAACATATTTCGCACTTCATAACAGCACAAAACTAGTTCGATTTAATACAATTTAATATTTATTTTAGCCAAAATAGATAAAATAATTCTTTCCGCCGTTAATTCTGTTTATTGACTAAATACAGCTAAATATATAGGTTAGAAATATTTGAAATGAAACGTCAAATATTTATTTATATTTTTATTACCATTAAATATTAGGCAACCCAAAATTTACTTTAATAAACTGATTATATATTTTTGTATTTTATTTAATCAACAATAATTAATGAGCCTATTGTCACTTAGTTAAACTCATTAAATTTATGTTGCTCTATTTTAATTTTTAAGTAAAATTTTCTAAGTATAATTGTCTTAAAAATATCGTATCGATCCGGCAAGTGAGTCATGCGCAATATCTCTAGATTGTCATTATTTATTAATTTTTGAATGTTTTGATAAGCAAATTTCTATATAACTTTCATTAATCTCGTTAACTTTATTTATTCTATTAATTATATAAATTATTGATATTAACTTTATTTTCCTTTAACATATAACTTTTTCTTCATGTCTTTATTCAGCTCATGGTTGGCAATCCATATTTTATCAAGGGCTCGTGTTTTTATGTGGCTATTTCTTTGTTGCAAAAAAGGTTTTCGTTTTTCTTGGAACTACCTTGGTTTGGTTACACAGTTCAGCTAGTGTGAGGTACAGAGGCCTCGCGGTATTTAGTCAAGTTTTTGATTTTTACCCTTGTGGGGATTTTCGAGTGTGCCTCAAAAATTACTGCAGCACCCTATCTTACCTTTTGTTTTTTTGGACGGTGCTACAGTTTACCGGTGACGGGATTTTCACCTCAAAAACCTAACGTGGGTCAACCAAGCAGCCCGCCTTTTTTTTCTCATCGAGCACCCCATTCCATCCAGGGGAAGACCTAAGTTTGATCACTTGAGGATTCATAGAAAACCCTGAGTTAGCAGGTAAAGCCTATTTTTTTTAAATTAATACATGTCTTTCCACTTTTTTCTTCTTAAACAAAACTATACTATATATTTTTTTATGGTATTTATCGTACTATGGAGAAACTATAATATTATTTCTCCGTA